GTTTCAGACTGCGAGAGGGCACAGGCCGGGCTGAGGGACCCCCCCGAGTGCACAAATTTTTGTGCACTGGGCCTCTAGTATGTAATAATTCTAAATATTAAAGGCAGTTTAGAGACTAGAGAGTAGTAGAGGATTGAAAAATATTTTAGGCAAGGTTATAGTTTATAACTCTAGGTGGCATGTTGGGAGGAGATACAGGATACTGTAAAGGGTACTGCTGTGCCCTTGGAAAGGTGGTAGAGCTCAGCACTGCATAATTCACAGGTGGAATGAGGAGCCATTAGGTATTTCCAACACTTAGCTTCGGAAGACAACTCCATGTGTTGTCAGTATCTGTTGAGCTATCTGTGGGTTTGTCAACAGAATACTGTACCGTATTTTTCTGGGTATAAGATGCCCCATGTATAAGACACCCCCCCGCCCCCACTTTTCCAACCCAAAATTAAGAAATCAATATTTTAAACATTTTTCTGGTTTTCCTCTTAAGGCCTTCTTTTTTGGCATCTTAAGGAGTTGTTCTTCCTGTTTTCTCCACTGTCTGATCATACACTCAGTGGGAGGAGGTCCAAATTCTCTCTCTGCAGCTCTATTTCCATGCTCTTTTGCATAGCTGATTACATTCAGTTTGAATTTTGCAGAGTAAGACAATCACTTACCAGTAATTATCCTTTTATTTTTTGACATCTTTATGGGCTCAGAACACTCTGGTTCCTGTTGCATCTAAGCACTCTCTACCTCAGGGGTCCTCAAACTTTTTAAACAGGGGCCAGTTCACTGTCCCTCAGACCGTTGGAGGGCCGGACTATAGTTTAAAAAAAAACTATGAACAAATTCCTATGCACACTGCACACATCTTATTTTGAAGTAAAAAAACAAAATGGGAACAAATACAATATTTGTATTTGCATGTGGCCTGTGGGCTGTAGTTTGAGGACCCCTGCTCTACCTCCACCTCCAATTACAGCATCAGCTGATGTCAGTAACAATAAGGTTCATGACTAGGGGAAGCCTGTTCGACAAGGTATAGGCAGCTATGCACCCATATCCACCTGGCTCCATCCTTGGCTGACTTCTGTGTATAAGACACCCCATGATTTTCAATCTAATGATTTTAGAAAAAATTAGTGTCTTATACATGGAAAAATACAGTACATTGCTTACTGTTTTATGTTTAGACTAGAGGCCCAGTGCATGAATTTGTGCACCAGTGGGGTCCCTCAGCCTGGCCTGCAGGATTGGGCCAAAACCGGCTCTCTGACATCCCTTGAGGGGTCCTGGATTGCAAGAGGGCATAGGCCAGGCCAAGGGACCTCATCATGCACGATCGGGACCAGGGAGAGACGTGGGAGGTTGGCCAGCTGGGGAGGAACTGTGGAGGGCTCCAGGGCATGTCCAGCCCATCTCACTCATTCCCAATCAGCCAGACCCCAGCAGCAAGCTCATCTACTGGTCAGAGTGTTTGCCCCCTGGTGGTCCGTGTACATCATAGCGACTGGTCAACCAGTTGACTGTCTGCCCCCTGGTGGTCATTGCACGTCATAGCGAGTGGTTGAGGAGCCTTAGCATATCATTAGCATATTATGCTTTGATTGGTTGAACAGCAGACTGGTCGACTGGACACTTAGCATATTAGGCTTTTATTATATAGGATGTTATGTCTTATAGACATTATGAAATATGTAATAACATACTGAAATTATAGCTTCATCTGATAAACAAAATGCAAATATTTCACTAAGAGATACATGAAACCTGAAGCATAATGGCTAACTCTTACATATTTGGTTTGGGACTATTGAAAGCCATCCAAACAGCCTACACTCATTACTAGTCCTGAGTCCCACTCTGTTGCTCACAGTCCAGCACTAGTATCTGGTGCAGAAGAAAGTGGAATTCTCAGGAAGACCCATTTTTAGCTAAGGCAAGGCGATGGAGGAATTTGTGAAGGATAAGAATATAGAGGGAAGTTTGTTTAAAATTAAAAGGAAATCCAGAGGTCAAATATGAAAGGGTTCAAAGGAAGTAGCACCAACCCTATCATAATGTAGAGTATTCAAATAAGAGGACAGTGAAATAAAACATTACGCATTTTGGGAGGAGGCCAAATATGAAAGGGAAGTGAAGCGTAGTTTCGTTACTGTAATTGGTCTTAAAGTTTTGTTTAACTCTGATGTAAAATATTTTCTGTGCCACCACTGACTATATCTACGGGGGGTGGGGGGGAGGGGGAGGTGTCTAAACTAGGGGAATGGGATTAGTAAGTGTTTGAGGTTCCTTTGTAAACTTTCAGCATAATATAGATGGCTGTGAGATAGCATATCATCTTCGTACATCTCTCATAGTTATTTTTTTGTACCAGCAAAATCTTTGGTTTATATTTATTTCAAACTTCAAATTACTAAATCAGAGTTGGGTGCTCAGTTTTGATGTACATGTTGATTTCTATCCCTGTGCTTAATATGAAATCCATGCCAATGATAATTAGCACTGGCTTCAAAGCAAATTTTCCTTAGTACATAATTAATAAAGGGATGATGTATAAAAATTACCATTTCTATAAAGTATTTTTTCCTTATGCAAGGAATACTATTAAAGTCTTCTGAATGGGGGATTCAAGAGGCAAGAAAGGAGTCACCCCATTTCTAATAGCTGAATTTGAGAAAAGTTTTATAGACAATCAAGAGAGTAGGGAATGAGATTTTCATTATTTTAGGACTGGAAATATTTCACAAATTTCATTAGTATGCAGACCATATATAGTTTGTTTGGTTTGGTTTGATTCATTCTGTTGAACTATTGACCCATCTTTCATAAAATACTACCATGCTCTTCTTCCTTCTATTCCTTTTGTTGCTGTCTTTTCACCTCATTTTCTCCCTCCTGAAATGGCTGATGTGGACAAATTAGATGACACAGAGCTCTTCCCCAATCAGCTCTTCCTACTATCACTCAGGCAAAATTTAAGGACCTAAAGTTTCAAGGAACCCAGTGGAAACAAACCAGAAACTACGTACACTTTTAAGTAGGTAACAAGAGAGTTACTCATCTTCTGCAGCGGTTCTCAACCTTTGGGACGCCACCCCTTTGGGGGTCAAACCACCCTTTCACAGGGGTCGCCTAAATACATCCTGCATATCAGATATTTACTTTACGGTTCATAACAGTAGCAACATTACAGTTATGAAGTAGCAACGAAAATAATTTTATGGTTGGGCAATGAAAATAATTTTATGGTGGGGGGTCACCACAACATGAGGAACTGTATTAAAGGGTCGCGGCATTAGGAAGATTGAGAACCACTATTTAATGACTTCATCTAATATTTTAGCATTTTCTTGTCTTTGTACTTTCTGTTCTTTCTAATATCCCAACTTTTTCTTTTGGTTCTAACTCCCACACCAACCCAATTTAGATCAGAATCCCTTGTTATAATACACTCACTTAAAGACCCACTTTTTTAGAGCATTTATATTAGCTTGTAAATACCTACCTCAGCTTTATTTTACAAGTTTATTTGGTCTACTTGCTTATCTCACTTTAAGAAACTAATTCTTCCCTGGCCAGTGTGACTCAGTGGTTGAGCATCAACCCATGAACCAGGAGGTCATGGTTTGATTCCCAGTCAGGGCACATGCCCAGGTTGTATGCTGGATCCCTGGTGGGGGTTGGGAGGGGTACTGGAGGCAGCTAATCTATGATTATCTCTCATCTATCTCTCATCTTAGATGTTTCTATCTCCCCCCTCTCCCTCCTTGAAATCAATAAAAACGTATTTTAAAAAAGAAACTAATTCTTTTAGTGGCTGTGAGTGGCATGAGAGAAATGTAAAAAGCATCAAGAAAAATCAGGGTAAGAGGAGAGGAGAAAGACCTTAAAATTAAACTAAGTACTTACTTTGCAAAGTATCTTTTCTGTCTCACTTTACATAAACGTGTCTGTTATTTTCCAACTAACTGGTGGAGGTGGTGCTTATAAAGATTTTTCCCTCCTAGAACTCCAGAATTTTAAAATATGTCTTTCCTTTCCATTCTTCTATATATTTTTCCTTGTTTCTCATATCATGGCAAAATTATTACTAATAAATATCAGCCCTCACAGTCACATGTGCAACAAACTCATAAGTGATAAAACTTTAGTGATGGTAGGGAACTTAGAAGCAATATAGTCCAACTCCCACCTTTTATAGATGAAAAAAATTGAGGTTAATCAAAGTCACATTATTTAGTAAGTCATGTATTTAATTAAAGAACCAGTAATGGAATCCAAGTCTTCCATTTTCCAATCAAGTCTTAATTTCTCTTTCCTCGATCTGCTCTTTCTTGCCGGGGGTTTATATGTGAAGCAAACCATTAGTTCACCGTACAGTTTTGTCTCCTACTTCTACCCCGCCAGCCCCCGCTCCCTCCTGCAGCATTTTGTTCGCTGATGGTTCACGTCTGGAACGCGCAGGAAGCTCTCCCGGACTGAATAACAAACAGCAAGTGCGGCCCGTCCTGAGAGCTGTCTTGCACCACCTTGACCCAGGGATTTTAGGATATAAAGGCGAATTCAAGGTGGTTCCCACCTTCTCCTCTAGTCGCTATCCGGTGGAGCTGCCTCCAGGACTTGCAGTGAATGCGGTTTTGCAGGTGACTTGCTCGCACAATAAGTAAAGCGTAGACAGCCTCCTGACACCCACAGCAGCCGTCCTCCTCTGGTCCTCGGTCTTCGGGTTTTCCCGTGAGCCCCAAGTGCCTAAAGCCCCAAGTGAGGACTTACGAGGGGCTCCATCAAGGTCAGTGCAGTGACCATCTCACCGACCTCCCATCGGAGGCCAATCCCGCTGCCTCCGACCCTGCCCCCCATCTCCAGGGCCCTTCATGGACTTCGTCGCACACCACTTTTCCGCCAGTGAACGGCAGCTGGGAACGAAACATTCCGCCCCCAAATCTCGCTGAACACCTCTGGCCCCACCTCTCTGCCTTTGGCTACAGGTGAGGGTCCAGGGTGGGATCCAGAAAAGAAAAAAGAAAAAGGATTTATTTCTGGCCTGCCCCTCCTTCCCTTGAGGAATCCAGTCGCCCAGGAAGGCTTTCCGAAAGCCGCTCTGCTTTGCAGCCTTGGTTGAACTAAGTTGGGGATGGGGAGCTGGGGAGAAAAGAAAAGTCGTTGTGGGCAGCTGGGTGCGCCCGACGTCAGTCTCCCGCGGTGGCGCGCAGGTACCCGACGATGTGGCGGTGGCCCCGCTCCTCAGCCAGGTCCACGGGCAGGCGGCCCCAGGCATCGC